TAGTAAGCGATATCAAATTTTAAGCAGGTGCTATCTATTTTTGACTCACTAGCACAACAGTGGAATTTGCACAGAAGTTATTCTATTTTTGTATTATTCTATGCAGGTTGTTTTTCTAAGCTCATCACCAGGTGTCTTTTACCAGTGCATTAAGCAACAGAACTAAGGTGTCACCTGTTCCTTTTCTACATGGAGGGTAACTTGTACAGTGGAGTGGCTTGTTTTGGATGTTGCAATGAGGGGCATCCTGCAGAGAGAATTCTAAGCCCTGGAACTTGATTGAGAATCTCATGGGAAAGCACAGACAACAGAGACAGAAGAACAGGTTTCACATCAGCCTGTGCTGCCGGGCATTTACAGTACAGGATGCTGCATCAAGCTGACATTCCCAAGCTCTGAAGGCTTCCTGCCCAAGTATATCACATTGTTATAGTCCAGCCAAGGGGTGAAAAAGGCATGAATAACTTAGGCCCAACTGATACTTGACTAGAATGCTACAGAATCTCCATATCAACTGGAGACTGAAAGGCCACGTTCAGACAAGCACGGCCATGCATGCAGTACGCTGCACTGCAGACATGTCTGTGGCACCACATACCGCACGTTCAGCTGTTCTCCATGCTGCAAGGGAGCAGCGGGGGTGGGGTTTGACCCCTGGATATTCAGGGGGAAAAAGAACCCACATGCAATAAAAAAGTGGAGCGGCGCACACAGGGGCAGCATGCGCCACTCAAAATTGGAGCCCGGCTGGCCAGAGCTGCACTGCGGCTGCCGGCCAGGCTTCAAGCAGCAGGATTACTGCTGCTGCAGCCCCAGTATAAGCTGAAATCTGGTATCCCCTGCCTCACCTTTGTTATAGTTATGTTATGCTAGCTGTGTATTTTAAGTTAATTCAGGAGTGAATGTGAATGAGTACGAGGTAAGCTGTGTGCGTGCTGCCCCCTGCTTGCCCCCTTTCTGCATATAGGTCACTGGCACAGGCACAGTGAATCGAGAAGGTGCTGGACACCCTGAACTTGGGACCTCTGGCGTGAACGTGCATGCGTGACTGAGGAGAATGTACTAGAAGGTGTTCGTGAGCATGTGTGCACCAAGTATCAACTACCCTGTCAATCACTCATGGGTTTGAGAACCTTCTCGAGAGACGTCCTAAACAGCCAGGGGGAGGGGCACAGCATGTCTTTTGGTTGGTCGGTGGGCCTGAGAGTCTGAGTTTGAGTGAGGAGGTCGCGAGGTGGATTTGTGAGACGGCTGTGACAAGCATGGAGATTGAGGAATCGCCAAGCTGTGACCTTCCTCAGAGGCCCCCATCGTTGCTACTAAAGAGCTGAAGCCAGCCAGCTCCTGAGGACTCCTCCCCCTCCACTGAGCGGCTGCCAGCCTCTGTGGTGAGTATCACCCGAGTCAGACCTTCACCTTCCAATTGTATAGCTTTGTATATGATGGTTCTAGTTCCAGTGTGTTGTTAGTTTTGTTAAGAAATTAAAAAACCATATAGACATTCGCTTTAGTTAATTTAGTCTGAGTGATCAATTTATGCAAGCCTGTCAACTGCCTCAGAGTAGCACAGCAACAAAACCTGTGACTGCTCTGTGGGTGGTAATTGTGCCCATCCCCTCATCTGGAGTGCTCAGGCTAATTAGACCAATTAGGTGTGTCCCTAATCAGCCCTCAAAGTCCCCACCCTACACGGACCCCGGGTACGGCTGCTGGGGCCAGCCTAGTGCTAGCCCCAGCCTCCCCTACTGCACCCAGGGTAACCTGCTGCGCGCCAGAGCACACGTGGCATGGGCATTTCCCAGGGACAACTACCAGTGGCACACGGTCCAATGCTGCTAGTTGTCCCCAGGGAACCAAACGTCCACACTCATCTGGACGTGGTCAAAGATGTTATACATGGGTGCTGCAAGGCAAGAACAAAGTATCAGTGAGGAATCCAAGAGTACTCCTCAGATACAGACTCAATGCACTGGCCAGCGGGTATGTACCTTCAACCAAACGGGCCTGTGCCGTGACTGGGAATTCTTCAGAATACTTTTCCTGCCAGCATCGCCTGTCTTCCTTCATGTTGGGGCAGCTGTACAAGCCCAGGCATGAGGCTACTTTGGCAGTACGAGTGCAATCATATGTGGTAAAGTTCATGCTGAGCTGCGTCTCATTTGCATGTTGTTGGCACTCAAGGCCATGTCTTGATCTTTGCAAATTGACTATGGCACAGGCTTAGCTTAAGTTATTTTATAAAATACCTTTCACAGAACAGGTTGTAAATCGATTGGGCTCGGTTGTGCCACCGAAAGAACTTTAATTACCCTGACGAAGTTATCTTAATTAAATGGTAGCTAATCTTAGCTAAATTGAACTGAAGTTCTGATATTTCAATATATTTTTCAACCCTGAGAACACCAGACACAAAAGAGAGGCAGGAGAGAAGTCCATTCCAGAAATATACCAGAAGATAAAGCAGCTCATCAATGCAGTGCTATTACTAAAATATACAAGGAGGCTATTGCTTGGCTTCACGGATTTGCATTCGCTAAATTAAAAAAACAAACAAACTAAAATATACCCCTGTCTCTCAGATGATTTTATATTTAGAATTGTCAAGGTCAGTCAGTCTTCTTCCTAAAGAGAGAGTCTGCTACTGAGACTAGAAAGCAGTGGGAAACAGTGGCTGTAAGAGAAAGAATAACCTGTCAAGCAAGCCTTGGAGAGTCCTGTTGTGCACATAATTATTTACACTCTTCTGGCTTACAGGGACGAACAGTCTTGTCTTATCACAAAATTACAAGATTCAGGAGAGAGAGACAGACTATAGGTTATAAGCAGGCAACCAAGCTGAGGGATGCAATGTGAAGTCTTTTGAAAAAAGGAAGGAGTAAATGTTGTATTGATGTATACGTGTTGGATTAACAGGACACAGTTTTTCACAAAGGGCAATGGTAACTGATATTGATAGGTTGGGAAAAGCATAAAGAAATGAGTAGAGAGGACTTTCTCATAATGTAAATATCTTCATCTCACCAACCAAAAAAAAAAGCTGCCAAGAGGAAACCCTCATTTCCATTAAATCTGACCCCAGAGTAACTGGGAAATGCCTAGTCCCCCATTTCGAAGAACCTGGGGCTCAAATCAGAACAGGCTGGCTGAAGTTTAACTGAGGAAAAAACTAATGTGATGCAGCAAGTCAGGGAAAATTGCTTATCTGCTTGCCTTATTGAATGACCTGTTAGATACTCGGATAGTAAGAGAGCCAGGAGTAGTAGCCATAGCCACAAATGCTTCCTTTAACTTCATTCTGACCAGCAGATTGCCTTTTGGATGTTGGCTATGTTACCATGATCTGTGCTTTCTTATGTCAAGGTTGGACATAATGGACTGTTGCAATGGACTATCTGGGAACATAATTCAAAACATCTGGAAATGAAAGCAGGTTTAGGCTGCAGAAGCCCAAGCAGTACACAGTAACTCTTATAGATAGCATGCAATACCAGTGCTGCAAGGTCTGTGTTTTATGTCTCCTGGCTTCCAGATCAGGTTTAAGGATCTGTAAAGGCCTAAATGCATCAAAAATCGTC